CGACGCCTGAATTTTATCATTACTAATCCAATTACTCTTTGTAACTAACACCTAACCTCTGTTGCCTGCCAACTCAACTCAATTTTGCATTGTTCGTCGTATTGCTCGTATAAAAAATCCAGAAAGAGAAAAAGAAGAGAAAAGGCTGTTGCATTTTCTATCCTCACTGCGTTCCATTTAGCTACTTGATAAACTCCCTGAATTACAACAATGACCATTAACTTCACTTGCTTATCACATCCTCATATAAAGACTATGGTCCCACTATCATTCCAAACAAACACAAAATCTTTATCACAAGAGACGTAACAAAATATTTTTGTTAGAACCTAAACAAAGATCTAGAAAATCAGTTGAATTCTTAGCACACAATCTATAAGATGTCCATTAAGTACGACACCTAGACACTACAAAGATTTTGTGTTTGTTGATACATCTATAATGGTAATTTGCTGATACATCTATATATAATGGAAAAATAGGTAATCACTAAGGAAACCAACATCATCCCTGAAACTACATAAAATTTTACAAAATTTTACAAACTAAATGACACAATTCATGAGTAAGACAAATAAAGAGTATACTAATGGGTTTTGACATGAGGGCATGGCCAATGTTGAACCCATCATATTTCCACGTCGTAGTTTAAAAGAGATGACAAAAGCAAAAATAGTTAGAAAATCTACTCATTTACAGTAAAACCATTAACAACGGTGAATGTTTGTCTCTTTTTGATCAAAAACCAAGACACATATAGTAAAATTCTAGTTATATTAAAAAATCTACTCGTTTAAGTTGTAATAAGAGTAATTCAAGTAAATTATTGACTGAAATGCTAAAAATAAGAAATAATCAAAAGAGAAACAGAAAACTCACACTTTTGGGGAAGAAGAAAGTTAGCAAAAATAAGTAATTCATGTTCGCTTTTATAATGCTTTTAGATTACTGAAGTGTAATCAACAAACTCAGTATCAACATTGAAGATATTTTGATAAAGTTTCTTCAAGGTACTTCAAAAGTAATAATCACAATAATCATGAAAAAGCAACTTACTGAATTCTTCCAATGTTGCAAGAAAGATTCTCCGTAATAAGAAATAAAGAACAAAGAGTTTCTTCATAGGTTTACCATTCATCACCGAGTTTGAGAAGAAAACATAAATATTTTTAAGACCAAAGAGCACACATCAGAGATTAGTGAAGCAAAAATCAATTTGTTATATGCATGCAAAACCAGAGTAAACAAAAGTCAATATATCATAGATCTATAGTATAACCATGAATATGTTATAGGATATAGGCAGTGTTTATATAGCTAATGTAATCATC